ATGGGTCTGTCCGCAAGCGTGCCATTGTGGCCCTGGGCAAGTTCATCATCCACGTGCCCGACCAGTACTCTGACGAAGCTCTCCAGTTCATTATGCAGCGCTACAGCACCAGCAATAACGACGTCGAGGCAAGCAACTACCTGCGTGTGCTGGTCACCATTGCCCGCCAGAAGCCGCTGCGCATCGCGCATCTGTTGAACCAGATTCTGGAGCGCGAGCTGAGCATCGTCGACTCGGCCGAGGGCGAGCGCCGCGTCACGTCCCTGATGGCCCTCGAGACGGCAGTGAGCCACAGCCCTGAGCTCATTGGCAGCAAGCTGGACCGCATCTACACTGCAGGAATCACTGCCATCAGCTTCGACCCCAATTACAACTATGATGCCGACGAGGACGACGATGCCGACGAGGACGATGAGTTCGAAGACGAGTTCGAAGACGATTTTGACGACGGCATCTACGAAGACGATGAGGACGATTCGTGGGAGCGTCCGTCTTGGCGCTGTCAAGCTCCTGGCAGCCCTGGAGCAGAGCAGCCTGACTGACGCTAACAAGCTGCTGTCAAAGGTCGGCGATAGCCTGATCAAGCGGTTCAAGGAGCGCGAGGATGTGGTGCGCAGCGAGGTGCTTGTTACCTATGCAATTCTGCTAGACGTGATCAAAAAGGTTATCAAGCCCCACGACGAGCAGGGCATGGATGTCGAGAACGGACTGGTCGAGGCTGTCGAGCAGCAGGCACAGCAGGTTGTGTCGACGTTGCTGGCCACGATCAAGACGCACCCCAAGTCGACCGAGACCAAGCAGCTAGCGTTTGCTATCCTTGCGCGCCTCGTCGGCATCAGCCCGTCGGTGCTGGACAGCTCGCTGGAGGACATCACAAAGCAGGTGGCGGACACGCTCAGCGCTAGCGAGTCGTTCGGCATTCTGCAGTCAGCATCGACCCGCCTGGTCAACGCCAACCTGAAACTCGACGTGCTGGAGCTGCTGAGCCAGCTCTTTTGAGCGCCATCAGATCACACCCGAGCTTTTCCGGTTCATCGCTGCAGTTAGCGCGCTGGTCTCCCAAAAACTTTGCCAGTACCGTGTTCCAGGTTCCGTCAACCAGCCTTACTGTCGCCAAGAAGCTTGTCATTGCACTGAGAGCCTCGGCCGATGAGCATGGCACGGACATCTCGTCAGCGGTTGAATGGGTCCGGCAGTCGGCTCGTGACGTGCTCAGTCTTATCTACTCCAACGACCAGGCCGTACGCACCGGCGCCATCGAGTTTGCCAGTACGGCAGTTCAAGTGCTTTGGTGACCTCATCGGCTCTGATGTGCTGGGCTGTGCCTGGCCACGCTGGGCAGCGCGGGACAAGAGCAGTGCCCTGGCGGCCACTTCCATCCGGGCGCTGGCCGAGGCTGTTGCACAGCCGACGCATGTCCCGAAGCAGGTGGTTGTTGACTCTGCGGCTTCTCTGCTTAGCACGGCAGGTGAGTTACTGAAGCTGGGCGATATCAGGTCGCTGACGGCTGGACTCGAGTTGGTCAAGAGCCTGGCTAACTATGGCGACGCGGGTCTCGCTGGCAACCCCAATGGCGCGCTGGACGAGGTCCTGGGTGTTATCGGCCGACATGCCACGGCTACTCCCCCAGTCTCCTTGGCCTTGCTGACCATCATTATGCCCCTGGCCAGTGAGGACGAAGCGCAGAGGTCGATTGGCGTCATAAACAAGACGCTCTCATCGTCGGCAGTCCATGACCCACAGACCACTACTGAGCTGTGGCGGCCTGTTTGAGACCGTTGGCAGACATTATCCCGCGGTCGTTGAGGGATGGAGAGCCAGTCTGTTCCGCAGCTGGAGCTCGACCTACAGCGAATGTGCGGCGTTGCGCAGCTACCAAAACAGCACCTCGACCCAGTTCACGTACCCCGAGAACTCACTGAGCAGCACCAGCAAGTGCCTCTATGCGCTGTACAGCGGACTATTCAGGGCACAGGGCGTAGCCTGGTCCAGTGACCACCTGGCCGAAATTGTGCAGACTTCGTCCTCGACCGACGCTGAGGTGGCCAACCTGATGCTGGCCCTACGTACCCTTGGAATCGCTGCTACCCATGGGACTCTCCCAGCAGACAATGAGCTGATCAAGCAGCTGGACGTGCACCTGGGCTCTTCGCACGAGGACGTGCGCACCGAGGCGGCGCTGGCTCTGGGCAACTACGTTGGCAAGTACCCAGACGTCTTTGGCGATCTTTTTACCTCTGCTGTCGCATCCGATGCGAAATACCAGGGCAGCCGGATCCAGGCTGTCAAGACCGCAACTGATGTCATCGTGCGCACCAGTACCGACAGCGCTACCATCGACTCTGTGTGGCAGTGTCTGTTGCAGTTTGTTCTGGGTGCTCAGGAAACTGTGCCGGATTTGATTCCTCAGTCACTGGCCATCTTTGGTCTGGTCTACCCAGAGAAGTACCTGCCGCAGATCGCAACCAGCACTGGCAGCCCCAACGCTGTGGCCGCCATCGCCTCCATCACTGCCTTCCGTGTCATTCTGTCGGACAAGACTGCCGGTCCCCAGCGCGATACGTACATCAGGAGCGTCCTGCCTGAGGTTCTCAAGAATCTGGGCCACGCAGACATCAACATTCGCCGGCTCACGCTGCTGCTGCTCTACTCGGTGGCCCAGAACAAGCCATCGCAGCTGAGCGGCCTGGTGAAGGGCTTTGAGCCTGCCCTGTACAAGCAGACCGAGGTTGACGAGAGCCTGATCCGCATCATCACCATGGGCCCGTTCAAGAAGCGTGTTGACGATGGCCTGGATGCCCGCAAGATCGCCTTCCAGTGTGTGTATATGCTGGTCCGCAACATCCCCGACGAAGTTACTCCGATGAGACTGCGGCTGTGGTTGCGCGCGGTATCGATGACGAGGCCGATATCCTAGCACAACGCGTCTGATTGTCAACGAGCTGCTGGTCCTGTCGCCGAGTTCGCTGCTACTGAGGCTGGACAGCGTCGCTGAGGCGGTGACCAAGCTGGTTGGCAAGAAGTTGACTGGTACTGCGCTGCGCCAAGAACACGAGAGCTTGCGCGAGAACACCCTCTCGTCGTTCGTTCTCTTTGTTACTCTCGAGCGCCTGGCCAAGAAATCGTCGTCGCTGCTAGCCAAGGGCATGACCAAGGATGGTGCGTACGAGAAGCTCCGCACCACTATTTCCACGAGGGGTGACGACAAGACCGTGATTATGTATGAGCATGCCACAGAAATCGTGGACAAAACTGCCTGAGAGCCAGCATGCTCCATACTATTAGCCAGCTGGCTCACTGAGAAACACTAAATAAATTCTGAGCCTGCAAGCTTTTTATGGCTGATCGCCATTTGGCACATACTGTTTCCCACATCAATATATTTTTGTTTTCAGTAACCATGGCACAGCCGGCAATTCACCCGAACAAGGAGGCGTTTATCGAGGGCGTCGACCATATCTTTGCCAGATGGACCGCGCTAGAGCTGGCGGTGAAGAACGGCTGGGGCGGCCGCAACTCCCAGACCAAGCGTGACGACATGGTAGACGAGATCGTGAATCACTTTGACGACCTAGTCAAAAAGAAGAAGAAGCCCGAGCCCAGCGACCTCGAAGACCTCCTGCTAGACATCATGAGCGAGGACTTCAACATCACACTGGAGGACAACAGCGCCATCGAAGTCGCACGCAGCATCTGCAGCATCTTTGCCGAATGCCTGACCGGAAACTTTACCACTGTCGATAAGCTGCGCGACGAGCGGGATGCCCGGGATGCCCAGGGCGGCGCTAACAGCGCAGTGCAGCAGTCGCATGCGGCTGGTGGTGTTGCTGCAGAGGGGGAGGATTCGGAGTCGGAGTCGGAATCGGGCTCTGATGACGATGCTATGGAAGAGTGAAGGAAAAGGGCTCTGCATTACCTACATGTTTTTACAAAAATAGAATATATATCCATGATGCTATACATCATCCTCATACTACTTAATAGTCTAAAATGCGCTACGCACTGTGTTGAAAGGCTTTCAAATGATGCTCTACCGTCACATTAAGACGCCCTTGCATTTGAGCAGTGACTCTCACCGAGCAGGTGCATGCGGAAATATGAACAGGAGGGAACCAGCGATGGTACTACTCGACACTGGTATCAGATCTCGGCAGTATCAAAGGCAGCAGATAGCAATTTGTGTGCGTCTTGTCTACAAAGTAACAATTTGTTTGATGTTGAATAATATGCTGCATATGTAATCACAATCTATACTAGAAATACTCTGCTTGCGATGCGAGCTCGGCTACTAGTCAGCATAGGTTGACACGTCGATAAGAGCATCACAGCGAACCGGTCATTTGAACGTGTCAGATGGTTGTTGGTGCAATAGCGATCCTGGATGTCTCCCATATTGATGGCCTGCTCAGCGCAGACGCTTCAGTGCTGGTTCGCTGCTGCTGGCAGCAGAATCGCCTGCTGCTGCAAAAGAGGTGTGCAGCTTCTTTGTTGCCGTAGTGGTGCCAGAAGCATCGGTAGCAATGGCCGTAGAACGGCGGAACTGTTCAGGAATACTGCCTGAATCACAGAGTGGCTGGAAAATGAGCCTGAAGTTTAGAACTGCTGCGAGATCGCGGTTCAAGAGCTGAGGATGTAAGAGTCGAGTGATTCGTTCATTAAATTACTGGCCTTGCAAAATCTGAAGAAGCTAGGATGCATAGCGCTTTAATATGTGGCTCTATGTTCGATTATACCCGTGGTTTCAGATATATCTGCCACCTTAGGATCTGAATCCATCGGCCAAAAGAGGAAATCCTAATTTTAAGGATTCATAGAACGAGTCACACATACTCGTTGTGAGGCTCAACTGAACAGATTCGTAAACAGTATTCGCCTTTCACCCGTTTGCTGCCGTCCATTGCCTCGTCTCTTTGCAAGTCCTCTTGTAGCTGCAGTGTCTTGAGACAGGCCATTCGCTTAAGCCCTAACACGGGTATATGCATTGGCATCCCTGGGCCATGTCGAACAATCAGGTATCCTGAGCCTGCGAATGCTGAGACCCGTGCACGAAGGATGTGCAGCAGGATTTCCACTGTGAAATGGTCATCAGCTCATTCATCCTCAGGTTGGCAACTGCCGGTTTGTAAGATGGGCGGCCGCCCTGACCGGCTCACTTGAAACCATTCTAGATGTGATCTGACTCAGATCCACATTGACTGTGGGTCCGTTCTGGGATATGTACCTCGAATAGTTAGCGGCGCATTTATTCCCTAAACTCTACGCCGGGCCCGGACTTGTGTCCATGCTGAGTCATCGCCCTCTGCATCTTGCGCCGACGACCCAGGGTGGTCCTTTAGCTAGATAGCAATCTGGCCACTCTTGGTCATATTTACAGTGTCTGTGCATCTGACTAACTAGCAGTGTCCGCCAGCAGCGCATCACCCTCACTGCGACATTTGTCGCACCTTGTCGCGTACCAGTCACCGTGCAGATACACAATTGCATTGGCCGCGTACTTGTGGCCGCCCACATGCGACGTCTCCCGTGCCGCAACATGTTTATTTGATCCATGATCCACAATCAGCGCGCGCACATCACGCAGCAGCTGCATTCCGTGGGTGCATATGAAGATGGGCCGGCTCTTGCTCATGTCGAACCAGCGGTGAGTGAGGTGTGAGCAGTTTCTGCACGCCGCTAGCATCTGGTAGCAGAGAGTATACGGTGTATTGGTATTGCAAATCATATAGCCTCATGTCTCGTAGTATATGCAAGTATATGGATGAAAACACCACATCCCCATGTATCATGGCAGTTAAGTTTATATGAGTATGGTATTAGTATCTCGCAAGGGTGGTGACAGCGAAATCCCCCATGGCTGTTGCATATGAGGAGCAGAGGCGGCCACATAAGAAATAATTGAAAAGAAGAGGGGTATGAAAACAGCGTTACTCTTTGCGCAGGCTGTCAAGCCGGGCTTGCAGCGCAGCATCATCATCCATCGCATCAGCTGCGCCTTCACCAACTGCTGACTGCTCAGTAACAGTCTGTGGGGCAGCACCCAGCGAGTCGTTGAGCTGCAGACCAATCTCATCGAGCACCTGCTGGACGATCTGGTCCGATTCCTCCTCATCGTCCTCGATATCGTCTTCCATGGCATCATCAATGGCGTCGTTCATCAAATCCTCCTTCATGTCCATCATCTCTGACTCCTTCTCAAACTCCATCAGCACCTTCTGCATGCCAGGCAGGTTCATCGATGTGTTCATCGACTTCATAGCCTTGGTCGCGCCGCGCATCGCTGTCGACATCTGCTGGTTCGAGCTCATTGTCTGTATCCGCAATGCCACGCCCTGCAGCGATGTGCGCATCTTGTAGAATTTTTGCACATACCGCCGCGTGCGCACTAGGTCCTTTGCCATGACCTTGCAGGCGTTCTACAGTGTGCAGGTGTGCGATTATTAGACCGTGTGCCTCTGTCTGACGGCTTTGCCTACAAAGTCAGGGCCTCTTACCATTTGTCCTGCCTTGGCCGCCTTCTTAATGTCGGCAATGAGCTTCTTTTCTTGCTGCTCCATTTTCGTGCGCTCGCGGTCCAACTCTCGCTGCGCGCGATTCAGGGCGCGCAGGTTCTGTCGCAGCATCTCCTGGGGCGTCTTGCGCTTCCCGAACAAAAAGTCCAGCATTCTATGTAGGCAAATGTAGAAAAATAAAAAGCACGCTTTGGAAATAAGAGGGTGGTGGTGAGCGAGAGATACAATGCACGCTGAACAGATGACGAAAGCCCAGAAATTGAGGCAGCACGCGGAACTCTTGGCAAGCCAGTAGATCAACGGACCGTGATTGATCTAGCAAGAACGCGCTCTGTGCCTGAGACGCCTGAGACGCCTGAGACGCTTGAGCCGTATCAGGAAGTGGAGTGCGAGCGTGACGTCGATTTTTTCCGAGTCTGCAGACGAACAATATTTCGACGACGGCGGCGGCGAATTTTGGCATTTCTGTCTTCCCAAATACTGTATCGCATCGCGGAGGTTTACGCTTCTCCGGGATGGGCGCCAAATAGGACCCGGCGCGCTTCGAAGAAGGAAATAAAAAGGATTTGCCTGCGCAATTGGCTGTAGCACTTCTTTGGCGCTGGGCCTAGTGCACAGGCATGCTGTCGAGGCAAGCCGACGGGGGCAAGAAAGATGTGTGTGTCTGCATGGCGGCAAGGGCGCGACATGTGCTCTATTGCCCCCGCTCGGTGCACAGGGTGAGGATGCCCCTGCCGACAAGTGCCAGTCAGTGCGCCTTTTCAATCAGCGTTCAATTCCCACTGAATCGCACCATGCTCTCCAGTAGACAGTGCTGATGCACCAGCAGAGTGGCTGGTTCACAACTACATCCAAATGGCTTCCCGATTGGTGCCAATGACGATGTGTAGGCTCCCTGGACATCTGCCGGAGCCCCCATTCAATGGCCGTGTCCTGCTGGCTGGCTAGCTGGCGCGCTGGGCAGTCCAGGGATCGCTGCTGGCTCTGCACGCACTGCAGCCCCGCACGAACAAACGGGAGACAAATTACGTGCAGTTCCTGTGCTGTTTGGTTGCTCGCAGATTTCCTCCTCGCGAATAGATTCGCTCCGCCCAGCAGCAGAGCCCGAAGCTTCGGCGGCAGTCGGCCGGACATATAAATAATGCCGGGCCGCCCTTGGCGACAAGCAAGGAAGCACCATTTTGGACATCCCTTTTGTTTCTTTCCTTTTCTACCCAGTCCCCATTCCCTCCATCTCTTTTCTCAAAGATACTCCTGCACTAGTCTACAATGGCCGCTGTTTCGAAGCCCGCTAGCCAGAACATTGCCGTGACCCTGCTCACCGCGTACCTCACCACCCTCGCCGCCCACCCCCTGGTCACCAAGGCGTGCACGACTGCGACCCTGAACTTTTTGCAGGAGGAGATTGCGCAGCGCACCTCGGGTGTGCGTGCGGCTGAGAAGGCTTCGGAGAAGCGCGCTGCGATCGAGGGACGCCCTGTGAGCAAGAGCCTGATCGAGCACATCGTCAACAAGCGTGTGCTCCAGTTTTCGCTCTACGGCCTGTTCATCAGCGGCCCGCTGAACCACTTCCTGTACGAGATCCTGAACAAGGTCTTCGCTAACCGCCCCAAGAACAAGCTCAACACCCTGCTCACCATCTTGGCCCAGAACCTGATTATCTCGCCGATTCTGAACTCGGTGTTCCTGGCTGCCAACACCATCATTGCTGGCGAGCGCAACATCGAGAACGTCATCAACGTTGTGCGCACGCGCCTGCTGGGCATGATGAAGGTTTCGTGGGTTGTGTTCCCCTGCGTCCAGCTCTTCGCAGCCAAGTTCCTGCCCCTCTTGTCTGGGTGCCCTTCTTCAACTCGGTTGCCTTCACTTTCGGCACCTACTTCAACACCCAAGGCAAGATCCGTGCCCTCCAGGCTGCCAAGCGCGCTGAGGAGGACGAAAAGCGCGATTAAATTGGCCCTGGGCATTGAAGGGGATAAGGCAGCACTCATTCGCCGGGATCGACAAGAGAAAAAGAGCGATGTTCCCAGTATTTTCCCGCTGCTGTCCACCATGCGCTTTGGCTCATGTCGGTTTCTGGTATAAGATAAGGGTTCTGCAGCGCATGATTCGTTGCAGGGCTGCCTGCGACTGGGCTGTGACTGTCATTTTGCTCAATCCTTCGTTATTTCAAACTTTCGCCGTTCCAAATGTAAAATTAGTGAAGCATCTACATCGTTTACCCAAGTGGCATCACCAGTCTCCAAAGACACCTCGCTATCTGAGATATACATACCTGGTCGGTGCGGGGACCTAGGTACGAGCATTCTGTGGCGATTTTGACAAGGAGACACCAGCCGCTGCCAGCTGATCGTATATTCCGGCATACGAGTGCGGGTCTGCCGACTGCTTTCTGGTCAGCACTTTCCTGGCTGGTGCTGGTACTTGTTTCACCGGCCGATCAGAATCCACCGGCTTGCCATTGTCGGAGCTGGTAAACACCTCGTTCCCGTCTTCCGAAGGTATAGGGATGATGTTGGTGAATGGAGCCTCAGGCGTCGGGACATTGCTCTTTATCTCAGGAATATCCTGGTTGAGCCGATGAAGGTTGTCGCGCATCCAGTCCTTCCAGCGCCTGAGCGGGATGGGTTCCAGCGCCAGCCGCTCTTCCTCGGTAATAAATGTAGTCCGATCAGCCTCTGGCCCGCACATGCGTGTCTTGCCCCATGAAAAGTCGTCAAACCGCCAGAATGCATACAGGGGCATAACAAAATTCCATATCGGGATAGCCAATATATAGATGAGCATCCAGTATATGTAGACAACGCGCTGGGTGGTTATCAGAATCATGATACCCTGCAGCAGGAATGTTAGTGCCATCAGCATCAGTGGTAGCGCGACTGGGTGGCCCAGGCATTCGGCGATGATCAGGTAGTAGAGGAACACCACTGATGATGGGAGAACCACGTTTCCCAGCAGGTCCATCAGCACCAGAAACTGCATTGAGCAGCAGAAGGTGCCGCACAGGTCTGTGACCAGAATCAGCTCTAGCAGGTTGTGGATAGTTGAGTTAATCCACCGGCGGCGCTGCGAGATCAGGACTGAGAACTTGTCCGGCACTGTGGTACGGCAGATCGCACGCGGCACATACATCATCTTGCGCTTCGGGAACGCGCGCAGCAGCACTGTTGTCAGGTAGCGGTCCTCACCCAGTAATAGCAGATTTTTTTGGTGTAGGGTGTGGGTGTCGGTACTGCTGTATGCACAGAGTACTTCTGGTGACACTAGCAGTGGCACAACGGAGCCTGCAGCGGCCTTGCGGCTAAAGATGCGGTACATTGAGCAGCATCCTGGCAGACAGGTCACGCCGCCCCACAGGGATTCGAACGCCTTGCTGAGATGGTGTGAGATGTAGTACTCGTAGACCTGGATCCGCGTCACCCACGATGCCGTCTTGTTGGCAATCCTAGTCTCACCGCACAGCCCCATGATCCCTGCATCGCGCTCCATGGCAGCCACAAGACGGGCAATGCACTCGACGTCAATCTGCGTGTCAGCGTCGACCATCATTAGGTACTCGAACTGGTCTGGATTCAAACGTGCTAGCTGCGACGCATACCGACAAAGCTCAAACTCGAGCGGTGTCAGATGGTTGTTCATCAGCACGTTCTTGAGCCACTGCAGGATGATCAGCTGCGAGTCGCGCTTGCCGCGGTTCCCGGCTTTGGGCGAATCGGTGCGGCGCTCGAGTTTTGTGCCGACCTTCAGCACAAGTATGCACGGGGTGCTGGCACCGTTGGCGCTCTTGTATACACCAGGAATGACCTCGGCGGCATTGAACTCGCGAGGGCCTTCGCCGATAGCAATGTACGGCAGCGGGCGTGTGGGCTTTTCAGTCGGAATTTTTGTGATCAGGCTGCGCAAGATCTCTGACGTGGTGCGATGGTCTCCAGCGCACGACACTTCACCGTCGGCGACGATAAATGCCAGCTTGCGGTTGTTGGCATAGTTAGTCTGCGCAATGGAGTCTAGAGTGCGTCGCAGTGTCTCCTCGTCCTCGTTGTAGCAGGTGATGGTGATCAAGACATGCGGGACACGCGTGTGCGAGCTCTTTGTGAAGTGCCTGGCGACCTTGGTCAGCTGTAGCGAGAACGCCCAGTCGAACACGACAGCGCATATGAGCTTTATCAGAATGATTGCGTTGAGGATGACAGTGACCGAAATCATAATCGCCGATGATATCACGCACCCGATCGTACTACCCTCGATGCGGCCCAGACGGAACTGCGTGTCCAGACATGGAATCAGCTCCTGGAGCTCGGCGCTACGAGACAAAAAGATAGATGCATCGGTGCCGATGATCCGGTGCAGGGGTTCAGTCAGGTCTGGACCAAAGTACTCATAGTAGGTGTGGTTAGACTGGTTCATCTCGATGTTGGCAAAGTATGTCTTGAGCGAGTAGACAAACTCGTTGTAGACGAACAGCTTCTCAGAATTGTTGCCTTGCAGGATATCTTCCCACTGGTACACAACCCACTTGTCTGTCTGCAGACGCTTCAGCCTCTCGAGGACGGACTCAGCTGCCGTGCACAGAGGGTTGTTGCCAAACAGGCTTACACAGTGCGTCTCGGATTCGCCTGGCGGCCAGTTGTGACAGTGCCTTGCCTCGTCATGGAACGGAGCAAACTGGCTGCTGGCGTCATGTCCCACTGCCTCGTGCGCCAGCTGCAGATGCTGCATGTCGTCCTTGTCGGAGACGTCATAGATACGCCCGCGGACCACAGTCCATTTCTCAGTTGAATTCATGGAATGGTTCTCTGACAGCATCTGCAACGAGATCTGCTCGACCGGATGACAGAACAGGAAGGAGAGACCGAACGAGAACATGGCCGTGACGAAGGTGATAAACAGGATCAGGAAGCATAGCGCGATTTTCTCGCGCCACGCCTGCCGCTTCTCGGGCGTTTCCTTGCGCAGCAGCTTGTTCAGCACAAAATTGGGCATCCAGAATGTCAGGATGCGTGCAAACATGCGCCAATACGGGCCGAACCAAGCGCTGTCGTGGTAGCGGTTATATGGATCGTGTGCTATCAGCGGCTGGGTGTCGGGCGTGGCGATCTTGCGCCATCTATGTGTGCCGGTGCTTGTTGGGCGAGAGGTTTTCAGAAGCTCTACACCTGTAGGCTTTGGAGGCTGGCTGCTAGGTCCCACTGAGGGAGGAATATTGCTGGCTGGCTGATCTGCATCGCCAGAAACTCTGGGTGTCGATGCAACGTCAGCAGGCATGCATAGCTTATCCGTCTGTCGCGACTCACGCCTCAGCGCTTGTCCGGTACGGTAGTCGAGGAACTTCAGCGAGGCGCGGGAGATGCTATCTTTGATTTTGTCAGATAGGCTCCTGTCGCCACAACCCTGTGGGCTGTCTTGTCGCGACCACCCTTCTCTGGCAGCAGCTGGCTCATTCTTTTCGCTGAGCCCATGCGGTTGCCTGTCTGTGATCGGTGTGTGCAGGGCACTTGCAGTGGGTACTTGCAGCCGTGGTGGCAATTGGGTACTGTGTCTCGATGTATCCTGCAGGTGGCTGCTAGGACGGCTAAATGATGCTGGGCAGGCCGGCATACTAGGTTTCTTAAGGCTGCTTGTAAACGCATGCTGCTGGGGTGCGTGCTCGATGCTATGGAGCTGGCTAGCTGCCTGCTGCGCTGGAGACATTCGTTCGCCGGTACTGCCAATAGGCGTATATAGTGGCGACATGCGGGCAGAGTCGACCACCTGGATCCCAGGCGTAGGCACTGGGGTGCTGGTTCTGGACTGAGGACAAGTTGACTCAGGGGATGCTGGAGGTGGTACAGAATGCAACGGACTCGTTTGGATCTGGGCGTCACAATACGTGGCGAGATGCTGGTCCCCGCAGTCGATTGGTGTGTTGAGCGCCGACGTGACACCCGGCTGTCCGTAGGACTGCTCGTTGGTTACGTGTGCTACCGACAGATGGTCTGGGCCGCCCCCGGGGCGATGAGCCAGCTCGGGTACGCGGACAGATTTCCGTGGGCTAGTTTGAGCGAGGGGATGTGCCAGCTTTGGCACTGGAGCCCGACTATGAACTGAAGGGTGGTGATCACCATGACGAACGTCGTGCATGGACCGTTGGTCTGACTGGTGATCGTGTTGTTGCTGTTGCTGTTGCTGTTGCTGTTGCTGTTGCTGTTGCTGTTGCTGTTGCTGAATTATCAGCGACCGCATGCTCTGACGTAGATTGGATCTCACCTCGTGGTTACTCGTCGGTGGCCGTGCCAGGTTGTTCCTGCTGCCGCTAGCAGACATCTGACGGAT